TGAAGTCCGACGCTTAACCGACTGCGCCACCCAGGCGCCCCGGACGCTTTTATTTTTAAAATGAGTTCATAACTCTGGTCAACTTGCTTATTGGGCATGTTTTTGTGATGAATGTGTAGTTGTACTGTAAGACTTTTAATATACCTTGGTCAAGGGCTTAGCTTTTCCAGAGCACAATTATTTTATGAAGAAATGGCTCTTCATGCTTGAGTGACAGGTTTCTGGGGGAATGGTACCATGGTTTTTGTTTTTTCCTTCTGGAGTCCCCACAAATTCAGATTTTTCAAGTTAGCTATATCTTCTCAAATCAATGTCATTAGAAATTTTCATGGGCTTACAGAAGGCAGTGTGGTTACTAAAGCATACACTGTGTCCTGTGTTTTTCTATATTTTAGGAGCTGGCCATACATTATGAGTGATAGGATCCATCCTGCCCTCAACTAGAGCAGTAATTTAAAAATTGTAACCAAATTTAAACAAATAGAACTAGTCTATCCCAACAGGTAATATGTAACTTTAGTTGAGATTTTACATATTTTTCAAAACCAGTGTATATTTTAACGCATCGCAATTTTGACTAGACACACTTAGTTATCAATAGCCAGTCCCATGTAGCCAGAGACAACCATATTGGACAATGCAGATCTAGAGGGAGGCATGTAGATAATTTTTAAGTCGCATAATTAAACTTGAATAATTGATGGGAGTCCTGGAAGGGGAGTGGGAACATCCAACTTCATTCATTGTGAATGAAGTTCTAGGGGAGACTTAATGGTTTTGTTATGTGTTAATCTTCTGTCCCCCCCCCCCCCCTTTTCAGTGGCTGTTCCTCTGCTTAGAGTTTCATATCCTCAAAGATGGATATGTTGGGGTTTATCCTTGTAATCAACAGGAACATAGGTTTCTGTCCAGGAGATACTTTAAAGAAGTGGTAGCTAGGCAGGGAGGTAAGAGTAAAAGACTACACTAATGTTTGGGGCTAGATACGATGAACAGTGTGAGAGCAATTGGCTTTGAGGGTAACTTGGAAGTTAGAATAGGACTTTGTAATTGTGTGTGGGTGTTGAAGAAAAGGCAAATTCAGAGATGAGGTTTCCAACTTGGGTAGTGCTGGATTTTTATTACGTTAAGCTTAGAAGGCTTAAGTACTGGGGTTCCTGGGTGGCTCAGTCGGTGAAGCATCTGATTTGATTTCCACTCAGATCATGATTTCACAGTTGGGGGGATGTAACCCCTTATCGCTGAGGGCTCCATGCTGGGCCTGGAGCCTGCTGAAGATTCTCTCTCGCCCTCTGCCCTTCCCCTGTGCACGTGTGGTCCTTAACACTCTCAAAATAACATACCTTTAAAAAAGCATGGGGAGGGGTACCTGCCTGGGTGGCTCAGTCAGTTGTGTCCAACTTAAGCTCAGGTCATGATCTCACAGTTTGCATTGAAGCCGGGCATCAAGCTCTGTGCTGGCAGTGCAAAGCCTGCTAAGGATTCTCTCTTCCTCTCTCTCTGCCCCTTTCCTGTGTACACTATCTCTCCCTCTCAAAATAAGCTTTTTTTTTTTAAAAAAAAAAAAAAGCAGTTTCATTAAAAAAAAAAGTACCATTGAAGAAGTAAATCGGTTCAAGGAGATGGAAACAAGTTTTATAGATCATTCCAAGCTAAAGTTTCAAAAGTCAAATGATGATTGAAGTGTATACTTAAATATAATTTCTAGGGATACCTGTCTGGCTCAGTCCGTAGAGCATGCAACTTGATTCCATGCTGGGTGTTGAGATTACTTTAAATCTTTAAGGGGCACCTGGGTGGCTCAGTTAAGCGTCTGACTTCAGCTCAGGTCATGATCCCGCAGTTTGTGGGTTCAAGTCGCATGTTGAGCTCTCTGTGCTGACAGCTCAGAGCCTGGAGCCTGCTTTGGATTCTGTGTGTGTCTCTCTCTGCCCCTCCCCTGCTCGAGCTGTCTCTAAATAAACATTTAAAAAACATATTTCTTAAAAATCTTTAGGATCTATATAATTTCCATTGGACCCACTCCTAGATCTCTCACTCTAGCCATTCAGCAATTTCTGTAGTCTCATCCTCAGTCCCAGTCCTTCGAGTCTCCCAAGACTCGTAGACTCTTCTCACTGTATTCTTCCTTAAGCAATCTCATCCTTTACCGCAGTTATATTTACTGTCCTTGAAAATGTGGGCCAGCCAAGTGGTAACCTCTAGTTCGGACTTTTTTCTTGGAGCTTTACTCAAAAATTCAGCTGCTCTTCCACTGGGGCTCAAATTTTACCTTCAATATAAGAATGTGTAACCAAAATGCTTGAAAAATTTCCTTCACCAATCCAGTTGCTTCTCTATGGCCTCTGAGAATAAAATTGCCTCAAGGTACCACATACCTTCCTTTATTGCTATTAAACCTGGTCCGCATCCATTGCTATCTCAAATGATCACTTACTTACTCAGCCAGTTTCTTGAGTCAATCCTGAGAACTATTCATGACCCCTTTTCTCTCATTTCCTGTATCCAACCTTTCAATTACTTCTGATGCTTTAATTTTATCTTCTAAATATTTTCTACTTCTGGGGCACCTGGGTAGCTCAATTGGTTAAGCATCTGACTTGATTTCTTGGTTCAGGTCATGATCTCACAATTTGTGAGTTCAAGCCCCACATCCAGCTCTGTGCTGACTGTGTGAAGCCTGCTTGGGATTCTCTCTTCCTCTCTCTGCCCCTCCCCCACTGACACACACACACACACACACACACACACACACACTCTCTCTCTCTCTCTCTCTCTCTCCTCCACTCCCTCCCTACCCCCCCAAATAAACTTTAACATTTTCTACTTCTAAACGTCAATTCTCCACCACTATCGACACTACCCCACTACAAAAATCTATCAATCTATCTGCTAGACTCAGTATTTTACTTTCGCTGGATCTTTGATCCTTTTTCTACCATGCAGTGAAGACCATCTTATCAAAATGAAAATTTTCAGTGTGACTGGGTGGCTCAGTAAGTTAAGCCTCCAACTTTGGCTCAGGTCATGATCTTATGCTTCATGCGTTTGACTTCCGCATCAGGCTCTCTGCTATTAGCACGGAGCCCGCTTTGGATCCTGTCTCTCTGCCCCTTCTCCGTTCACTCTCTCTCAAGAATAAACATTAAAAAAAATTTTTTTAATGAAAATTTGCAGGTCACAAACACACTACCTGTTTAAAATGTTGAAATGACTTCCCAATTTTGGGAGTGGAAAGAGAGGAACCTTAAATTGGTGGAACCTTAAATTGGTCTGTGAATCCGGACCTAGTGTACTTGTCTCCTCTTGCTCCATTTTTTGCATTTCGCATGTGATTTCTTCCAAGGAGGATGATCTTAAATCCATCCGCCATAATCTCGCCATCAATTCTGCCTTTCTAACAATGGTTCAGTTCAAACGTAAATTGCTCCATTCACTGATTCTCACAGATTCTGTCAAAGTAAATCGTTACATATCTATAACTTTTTTATTTCACATATTTTTAAAAAACGAGGAATACTCATCAACATCTACCTCCAAGGGCGGGGCCATTTAGGGTTATTTTTTTGTTTCTTTTGTTAGCCCACAGAGGCTCCACTAGAGCAGTAACTTCTCTATTTTACTCACTCTTCATCCTCAAGTTCTGGACCTGTACCAGGCACATTGAACGTGGTAAATAAATGTTATTGAATGAATGAGTCATTGAACTAGAGAAACCACCGAAAGCCGCAACAGAGTAATCTAAATCAGTCTAATGATTAGCTCGTTTTTCATGAAAAAGTGCAACAAGCCCAATAAACTGAAGCAGTTTGTCCAAGATCACAAAGGTAATCTGTGGCACAACTAGAGAGTCCCTTCTTCTTTTGTTGCAATTTAGCACGCACACCAGAACCCGTGCTAAGACATGCGTCGCGCTCTGATTTTTCAGCCTCAGATGCATCACACGGACAACATACATTGTTTTAACACATTCTGATCTAGCCAGGCTTCCGGCACGCTTAAAAAGGACCAATCCCAGTATGCAATGCAAACAATGAGTTAACAGTCGCTTAGAAACCACATGTCCCAGCATGCCACGCTCCCGAGCAACCTCGGAAGTGACTCTGAGAGACGCCACTGTACTCTGGGAGTTGTAGTCTCTCGGGACTGGTCCGCCCTTTGTGCAGCTTCGCGGCCTGTGTTTGGAGAAAACCCTACCGGGTGGCTAAGCGCGGCCCGGAGCCCTAGCTAGCGGTGCCGCCCTACAACCTTCGCCCCCGGCCCGGCGGCCGGCTCCGCCTCTTCTCGAATCTTTCCCACAGCCCAAGATGGCGGCGGAGGTGGATTTTGGCGACCTAGAGCTGTTCGAGGCGTTTGACCACCCAGAGGAATCCATTCCGAAGCCCGTTCACACCCGCTTCAAGGATGACGACGGCGACGAGGAGGACGAGAATGGGGTCGGCGACGCGGAGCTGCGGGAGCGGCTTCGGCAGTGCGAGGAAACCATCGAGCAGCTCCGCGCCGAGAATATCCTTCCCGCTCGCTGGGCCCGGTCACCGGCGTGCGGTGGGCGGCGAGCCCTGGAAGGCGCGGGCGGAAATTCCAGGGGGGCCAGAATTCCGAATAATCTCCCTGAGGGCTGAGAGTCGAGGGTTCGCTTGCGTAAGCAGCACCGGGGGCCTCGGCGCCAGCCTCTCCTCTTCTGGGTTCGGCGTCCTGGACTACACTCGCTCTTCCCGTCCCCCAAGCTGGAGCTGGTTTTTAGGGCTTTTTTCAGACTGCTACATTACAGACTGGTTACCGCTTCTCTCCTCTTCTCTAAAGTCGTTATCCGATTTTATTTTTTGCGGCCAAGCTTAAGTTCATGCAGTCATGCTGTAGTTGTGTATTAGGAGGTAACCGGACACTCAGCCCCTTAGCGTAGGTCTGTTTTTTAGGGCGGGGCAGAAGCTAGTGGCCCTAGGATGTAGAGTTGGGGGTTCAAGGATTTGAGGCATGCACAGAGACATGGTTAATTGCCTGATTAAGATTGGGGATTCATTTTAAAGTTCTTCGACTTTTCCGTGGTGAAGGTGCCGTCGCAAAGGTTTGGGAAAAACGCGCCAAGTTTCCGTTTGGCTTCGTTACATGATTACAGCTTTTCTGGCAAGATTTGCCAGTATGTTTATTTATATTCTTACCGGTGGGTTTTTTTTTTTTTTTTTTTTTTTTTTATTATATGCCGATGATTTCAGTTCAAATGAAACCCTGAAAGCGGTTGGTAAATCATTTTTGAAGTTTTTTTTTTTTTTAATGTTTGTTTATTTTTGACAGAGTGTGAGCGTGTGAGGGGCAGAGAGGGAGGGAGACACAAAATCCAAAACAGGCTCCAGGCTCTGAGCTGTCAGCACAGAGCCTCCTGCGGGGCTGGAACTCACGAACTGTGAGATCGTGACCTGAGCTAAGTCGGTCACTTAAACAACTGAGCCACCCAGGCGCCCCCTTCTTTTGAAGGGTTTTGAAGTCTGATTTTTTTGTTTCGTGATGCTTTTCCCCTCTACGTTTTTATATGTAAAACTTCGAAATACAGAGAAGTTGAAAGGACTGTACTGGGAACATCCATAGTTTCCATCCTAGAGTTTTCCTTCCTTAACAGTTTGTTTTACTGTACTTACTTTGTCGCTTATCATGCTGCTCTTTCTTAAGTGAATTGCTGTTTAACTTCTGATGGGGTACGGTTGTTTGAATAACATTTTTGGTTCGGTCTGTTAGGTCTGTCAGTCGCTTTTGAACTATATGACCTTGTCTTAAATATCCATGTTGGAAGAGATGAAAAAACTATCTTAATGTTTAGGTTTAAATGTCTATCCCTGCAACTGAACAGGAGCTGGGTTAAGTGTGTCATTCTCGAGATATTTGCAGGTCTTTTGATACTAACATTCTGACGCCAAAAGTGAGAGGGAGTAGTTAAATTTTATGTTATTTATGATGTTGTTTGATGAGGGCTTGTATTCCTTAACGAGTAATAACATCAAGAACTTAAAAGAAAATTGAACATTCTGACTCGACCGAGGTATGAGATATTGCAATTACACTATTGTTGTCTTTTATTTTTTATCCTGTTGTTAATATTTAGCTATAATTTTTTTGTAAAAGGAATATTTAGGATTTTTGTATTATTTTTCAGTATACTCCGAAGAAATCAGTAATGATGCTTTATTTTTAATTTCTGGGGATAAAATTTGAAATCTCACAACTGCATTGAATTTTTAACTAATTTGTTATTTTGGGGGGATGTTAACTGGATTTATTGCGGTGGTCATTTCACAACATATACAAATACTGAGTCATGTTATGTACCTGAATAACTTTTTTTTTTTTTTAAGATTTGGATTTTTCTTTCTTTCTTTCTTTCTTTTTTTTTTTTGGAGAGAGAGAGAGAGAAAGAAAGACAGTAGGCGCAAGTGATCGAGGGGCAGAGAGAGAGAAGTGGGACTCATGTTTTACCCGCAGTGGGGCTCGAGCTCACCCCAAGCTGGTGCTCACGTTCAACCGAAGAGGGCCTCGAGCTCACCCAGTATGGAACTCAAACTCATGAACTGTGAGATCGTGCCCTGAGCCAAAGTCAGATGCTTAACGACTGAGCCACCCAGGCACTCACCTGAATAACTTTTAGGCTGATTTAATGGGTAAAAATATTTGTGAAGCACATCCAAAAAATTTTGACTTAATGTTTCGAACAAGCCGGTTTGCCGAGCTAGCCGTTCTTACTCCACAAACGTTTCTGGGACGTCAGTTAAGATTACAGTATTGCTCCAGCTGAAGATTTACTTATGCAGTTAAACTATGTTCATAAATAGGAATGATGCACGATTTCATTTTAGAAAGAGAAATAAATGTGCTGTTGAAGAAAGTACAGTGAGTAGGTTTGCATTCAGACCTCTGACTTTAACAGATAGAAGATTAAATGCTGGTGTCTCTTAAAAAAATTTAACAGGTCAGTAAATCTAAAATATTTGTCTAAGTACATATTTATCATGGGGAATCGTGTTGTCAAGCTTCACAATTTGGGGTGCCTTGATGCAATGGTACATGCACTTTTTTGTTTCTGGTACCAGCTGAAGTAACCGGCTACATTGGTGACTAAAAGGTTTAAAATTTCAGAATTCAGGGGTGCCTGGGTGGCTCAGTCAGTTGAGCATCCGACTTCAGCCAGGTCACGATCTCGCGGTCCGTGAGTTCGAGCCCCGCATCAGGCTCTGGGCTGATGACTCAGAGCCTGGAGCCTGCTTCCAATTCTGTGTCTCCCTCTCTCTCTGCCCCTCCCCCGTTCATGCTCTGTCTCTCTCTGTCTCAAAAATAAATAAATGTTAAAAAAAATTTTTTTTAAATAAAAAAATAAAATTTCAGAATTCAGACGTATTTTGGAAAGCTCCCCATGCCCTACCTTCCTTCCTCTATGTGAGTACACTTTGTGGATCTAAACTCGCTGTTGTTTTGATATTAAATGTGTTGAATATCACTGGGATTCCTCGAAAATCATAATTAAAAAAAAAAATTTTAAGTTTTTTTTGAGAGAGAGCACATGTGGGGTAGGGACAGAGAGAGGAGAGAATTCCAAGCAGGCTCCGTGCTGTCAGCGCAGAGCCCGATGAAGGGCTCGAACTCACAAACTGTGAGATCATGACAGTTGGCATCAAGAGTCAGATGTTTGAGCCACCCAGGTGCCTGAAAATCATAATTTTTAAAATATTTTTTAATGTTTATTTAAAAAAAATTTTTTTAATATTCATTTTTGATTGTGAGAGACAGAGTGTGAGCAGGGGAGGGGCAGAGAACGAGGGAGACACAGAATCTGAAGCAGGCTCCAGGCTTTGAGCTGTCAGCACAGAGCCCCATGTGGGGCTCGAACTCACGGACCAGGAGATCATGACCTGAGCTGAAGTTGGGCATTTAATAGACTAAACCACCCAGGCGCCCCTAATGTTTATTCATTTTTGAGAGAGGGTGTGAGTGAGCGAGGAAGGGACAGAGGATCTGAAGCGGGCTGGCTCTCTGCTGGCTGCAGAAAACCCAGCCCCAGTGTGGGGCTTGAACTCAGGAACTGTGAGATCATGACCTGAGCTGAAGTCGGACACAACCAACTGAACCACCCAGGTGTCCCATTTGTTTTTAATATTCAAAGGTAGGTAAGCACACTTTAGGGTTGATAATTTAAACAAATATTTATTTACAAAAGGGTTATAATCACCTGAGTTTAAATGATTATAGCATCATAGGCTTTGCCAATACATGAGGCAAGCATTAGTATCCTAAAAAAGGAATAAATTAAAATTTTTCTTTTAGAATTTGTGGTCTTCGTGATGTCATACTGATAAAGCATGCTACAGAAGACTTAGAAACAAAAAGAAATAAAATTATTTAGATAAATTTTGTACCCCAAGTCTCTTGGTTTAATCCTTATTTTTGGAACTGTCATGATCAGAAGTTTCCTTTTTGTCCCGTAAATATTTTTTGCTTTATATTATGAAAAATTTCAAATGTATGGAAAAGGAACAGTGCAATTAACACTCACGTTTTCATCACTTAGATTTAACAGTTAATATTTTGCCATATTTCCTTCTCATCACATATATACATTGTTCTCTAAATATTTCAACATGTAACTTTTTAGAAACAAGACTTTTTCATGCATAATCACAACACAACTATCACAGCAACTGGTATGATTTTCTTAATAACATTCCCAGCTCAGTCCATATTCGTATTTCCCCAACTGAATGTCTTTATAGCTGATTGTGCTTGGACTCCAGTCAAGGAGTTATGCAATTGTGTGTGGTTTTTAAAAACCATCATGTATTCTTAAAAAGAGAAATTCGTGCAAATTCAAGCAAACTTCTGAACTTCTTCATATTTTACTTTTGTTTCTTGATCTGAGCAATTCCAAATATAGACTGATTTATTTCACATGCTGCGCAGGTAAAGGAATAGGAGGCAGGTGGGCAGAGGAGGAATCTGAGAGTCAGCTGGTGCAGATTACCACCGGGACATTGGATATTGTGCATTGTGCAGATTTTACAGCCAGAGCCACATCCTCC